CTTCTTCCCTCGGTGGAGGCACACGGCCGACTTTGTTGTTGGTGTCGACCTCCAGGCTTGCGAAACCAGGGGCGCAGCCGGGAACAGTCGGGGGCGATCGCCCACGGCATACCCAGACCCCCTCGAGCAGTGACAGAAATCACGACGGGAGGTTTGTCGCAATCTCGCCATCGCTCGGACGTCCATTCCCTGTGTTTTTTTCGGTTTCGTGCGTAGTTTTCGCCAAATGATCAAGGATGCTCCTCGATGGTCCTCTCCGAAGGAAAAATGCATACGTCCGAGCGATGCCAGGCAATGTTCGGCCCCTGGGGGCCCTTCTATCGGGCCTGGGGGCCGTCAACAAAACGACTCAGGAAGAGGAGCCGGTCCCGGGGAGGCGAGGCGACTCCCAGTTCGCCCAAAAGGGCGGCCGCGCGGGGGGCTGGGAGGTGGCGCCGGGGCGCCGCTCATTCAGTCACCGGGGATATTGTTGATGTTGTGTGATAAACGTAATCATCCTCCAATTCGTCCATACTTCCTCCAAAATGTAGCCAATGCTGTCCATGCGCTGTAAGAAAGTATTCTGTCAGATCGTCAACCCACCGTTTTTTGGGTCGATGTGGTAGCCTCTTTGCGCGTGCATTCGTCGCGGTCGGCTCCCATAGTAAAGCTTTTCTGTTCCATTTCCCCTTGTCATCTGTAAGAACTGCCATAAGTAGTCGCCATTGTCGTCTCCGTTGTTGCACGCACCAGTCTTCATATCCCAAGTCGTGGTAGTACTGTACAATATGCCTTGTCGTGCGTCGGATCCATTCCTGCCATGGTTCCACATTGTTTTGGGCATGCGAACTCGGTATAGTTGAGGTGCTGGTGTCGTTGCTGTCGGTGGTGCTGCTTTCCGAATCCGACGTGTCGTTCGGGCCGTCAGACTGGTTATTGTCGCTCGCTTCCGTGCCGTTCTCTTGAACGCGGCGACGTTGTGATCCGAGAATCATTCTGAGCATGCAGCGTTGGGTGGCCCGCACTCGCGTTTCCAGCGGAGTCGTCATTGCCCAAGAACCCGCGCCATAAAGAAGTGTAGGTGACACAACGCCGTTGAAGAGCCGCAGACGATCCCTCAATGAGTACGACCGTGTGGTGAGCTCGTGCTTGAACAAGCCGAATTTCTTCCATGCCGCATTGATTCTGGATTCGATCTCCGTCGTTGTCGGATCACGGAATGTAATTTGCCGTCCTAGATATTTTTGCGTTGCAGAGTACGGCAATATTTCGACGTAGCTTCCGTTGACGACTGTCTGTTCTGGGTTGCTTCGCGGCCTCCTCTCTTGCATGTTATGCAGGATCTTGGTCTTCCCGGGGTGTATCTCCAAGCCACATGGTTGCGCAGCGTCCATGACATCCCGAATCATACTCTTAATCTGCCTAAGGGAAGTGGCGACCAAGAGAACGTCATCCGCAAATCGAAGATTTGTAAGCCAATCATTTCTGTGCGTTCCCAACTGTATACCATATTTCCTGTCGGCCCATTTTGTGCGGAACTTGTCGAAGACGAATTCTGAGAGGCAGTTGAATAGTAATGAGCTTAATGGGTCGCCTTGCTTGGTCCCACGACTAATGGTAAATGTTTTGCTGCATACGTCTGTCTTGACACAAGCCGTCTGGTCCGTGTACAAGCACATAATGAGGCTGATGTATGATTGCGGAACTCCGTGTGCTCGCATAGCTTCCCAAAGTGATTCATGTGAGACCGTGTCGAATGCTTTCTTGAAGTCCAACGTAGCAACCCACAGTGGGACTTGGAACTCTCGCGCCTTCTCCTGTACGATCGCGAATGTGAACAAATGGTCATCCGTGCTGAAATTTCGCCGGAATCCAGCTTGCTCCGGCTTCTGCTTCGAATCTAATATCGGTTCCAGTCGGTTGTACAGCAATCGCGAGAATAGCTTGTACATGAGCGGGATCGTCGAAATAGGACGGTAGTTCTGCGGTAGGGCTGGCTCTCCAGATTTGAAAATCACCTTGATTTGGGTGTGTTTCCACTGCTTCGGTGTCACCGTACCGTCCAAGACAATGTCGTTGAAAAGCTTCCGCAACGCATTCCTGAGAGCTTCTCCTCCGTACTTCAGCATTTCAGCTGCTATTCCGCTTGTGTCTGCAGCTTTGCCGGTCTTGAGTTGCCGAAGTCCCTGCCGCATCTCGTCGTCACTGAAGGGTGCAATGCTCCCACGTTCCTCTGCGCCGTGTGCGGGAGAATCGGGGCCTGATCCTCTGGGCATTGAATATAGAGATTCGTAGAAGTCTGCAAACACATCGGCTATTCCCCGTCTGTCGTGGACATGCCCTCCAGGAGCTGACTGCATCGATATAATCATGTCCTTCTTTTTGGTGCTCTTGATCCCGCTGATTCTGTTTAGCCCCCATAAAGTCTGCAAGAATGGTCGTAATCCTGTTGTGTCGGTCCGTCCAGCCACAATTGCGTATCTCCCGCCGGATTTGTTTGCTGAGTTGTTGTCGCATAGCCGTGTCTGCATTTCCAAATTGTTTGCGCTGTTGGATGAGGTCGTCCAGCTTGCTCCGGAACTGGGGCAACGTAGAGTTTACCGTATCTCTCCGCTCATGTACCCCCGGCTCCGCCATAGATTCCGTGATTGATTTTTCGATGGAATCGTATCTGTCTTGGATCCCACCCTGATCCTCTGCAACCGCAAGTGCATCCGCCACTTTCTGTGTATACCGCTTCGTGTCCGCAGGTGGCCACGGATTTGTCGTAACCCTGCATTTGGTCGATGTCTTTTTGCTCTGCGCCTTCTTGTTCGTACCCGGCCTTTGTTTGAGAATACTACTTCGCATGAGCACGTCGGTATGGTCGGATCCCATGTTAATCGTTGAAGAAGCAACACAATCTGTCACAGTGTACCAGAAAAACCTTGACGTGAGAATGTAATCGATCTGTCGAGGCCCATGCCGCGAGCTGTGGAAATACGTCGGCAATAAATGAGGTTGTTTGGTAAACGTCGTGTTCGCAATCACTAGATTGTGTGCGTTTGCCCATTGTTTAAGCCACTGCCCTCGTGCATCGCCGTCGCCATGAGCATGCTTTCCACACACTCGTCGATTGTCCGTGTCGCTTGCCGGCCCGACTTGGGCATTGCAATCCGCGCCCATGACGATATGCAGCTTTTCCCGTGCCCCTGTTTTCACAATATTGGACAATTCGTCGTAGACTTCCTGCACAGTACGATCTGGATATTTGCGATGTGGGAAGTATGCCGTCACAAATCGCATCCGTAACATGTTGCCTCGTATGTCCATGTATGCAATACGACTGCTGACCGGCACAAACTGTTTGAAATAATGAACCCACCGCGCATGCAAGAGTATCCCAACGCCATGTTTGTATGATCCCCCACCGGACCCAGCATACATATGTCCACCCTCCACTGTAAACATCTCGTTGTTTGCTGGACGCATCGTTTCATTGATAAGTATTGCATCCCATTCGCATGTAGCGAATTCCAATAGTAATTCTGAGAACCTGTCATCGCAAGTGAGGCCTCGGATGTTCTTGTGGAGCACCACAAGAGGCCGATAATCAGCACAAGGCGCCGGCGGTTGTGTCGCATGGTCGGGCTCGGCAGGTCCTGAAGGCGGATCCTGAAGAGGGCTGGTATTGAAAAATCTGCCAAGAAAGTCACCATCTACTGTCCTGTACTTGCCCCTCCCACCACCACAAAACATTGATACCCCCCCCCCATTTCCCGCTCGATTTGCTGACTGGGTGGGTGGGTATGTTGTTGGCTGGGGTATTCCAGTCTCATTAGTGCTATCATCGACCGTAGTTGTAGAGAAATGCATCGGAGAACCATCCGTGAGAAGTGCACGAGGTGAAACGATAAGTGGTGAAACAAGTATTTGCGAACCCATGCCCGTCGCATGCCGTCGCCCTTTCTCCGTAGATGTGGCCGTGCTCCCCCTGGTAGTCCTGCCGGTCTCGCCGTAGCGTCACTCGCTGTCGGTGGTCGGCTCCGGGCGGACCTTTTTCCTCCACTTCTGCATGTCCTCCTCCACCTCCTTCTCCACTGCCTTTCCCGCCTTGGTGGTATGCCACTCCCCCTCCCCGTCATACCATGCAACCTTCCTCTCCTTCCCCGAGCTGTCCCTCAACACAACCATCTTCTTACCCCATATGATCTTAATATTTCGGTTGGTATATTCAGAATGCTTCTGGAGGTAATATTTGGTGTAGCCCAACCGCTTTTCATGGTCCCGTTCTTCTTTGGTCAAGTTGTTCCGAAAGAATATTTGTCCGAAAGCGTGCTCATCCTTATTCAAAGCATCCTGCGCCTTTTTCCAAAATGCTATTTTAGCCTGCACGCTGGGGAACTCCATCATTCCCATTTTTGTTACGTCCGATCCTGTCGTCACATTCGCATGCACACCGTTCCCAAGTAGTTGTTTCAGTATGCCATCAAGATGTTCCACCACTGATGCGGATGGCGTGTTGTCTGCAAAGCCGAATGCAATGACCTGTTTGTGTCGCGCCTCCCCTTCTCCATCATCCCTCCTGGTTCCTCCTGCTGCTGTAGGCCGGCGGTCGTGCATCGTGTGCTTGATCCTCTCCTCGATCATCGCGCCTACCATATCCTGCATCATTATACCCACCATTGTCTGCACATCCTCCTGTGTCACATAAAGGTCATCCATGTCCCCCTTGATCATTTCGACCTCGCCCTCGAGATCAACGACTTTGTTGCGCAACTCCCTGATGTTCCCCTTGATTTCTTGCATTTCTTCCTTTGTTTGTTTGACCGTGTCGCTGACGTGCTTGAGTTGCTTGGTTAATGCATTGAGTTTTTTGTTCTGGCGTTGCTCGTACTGCTGGAACCACGCTGGCGGTGCCTCCGTCCCGCCATCCACTTGTCCACCTCCCGCACTGTCCGATACTACCTCCACATCCGCATCCTCCCCCTCGCCGGCCGTCTCGTCAAGAAATTTCATCATCTTGCCTTTACGGCCTTCCTTTTTCTCAGGTGTCGAGCCCGTCGCAGTCCCCGCACGTTTAGACATGTTTCCGACTGTCCAACGGAGAAGCAGAACAGACAGAAGAGTGAGAGATCAGATGGTGAAGTAGGCAGCTAGAGAAAGCAAAGTTCAATAGCCGGATTAATGTGCCACTTGTGCCACCCTCGAGCAGTGACAAAAATCACGACGGGAGGTTTGTCGCAATCTCGCCATCGCTCGGACGTCCATTCCCTGTGTTTTTTTCGGTTTCGTGCGTAGTTTTTTCGCCAAATGATCAAGGATGCTCCTCGATGGTCCTCGCCGAAGGAAAAATGCACACGTCCGAGCGATGCCAGGCAATGTTCGGCCCCTGGGGGCCCTTCTATCGGGCCTGGGGGCCGTCAACAAAACGACTCAGGAAGAGGAGCCGGTCCCGGGGAATAGGTCGAAACCTCTGGGGTTCGGCGTCATGAAAACATCGTGAAGACCCCCGACGTCATGACTTTTTCATTACGTCGACCCCCCGAGGTCTGAACCTCTTCCCCAGCACCGGATTTTCATCCCGAGTCGTTCTTTGACGGTCCCGAGGCCCGGCAAGGGCCCCGAAGGGGCTAAAATACTTAGCGAAAAACCTCCCGTCATGATTTGTCATTACTCAAGGGGGTAAGGGGAGGCAGTTCTCCTCCAGGGACGCCGCCGAGTAGCAAACCCCGCGCGGCGGCAACGGAGCCGACGAGACGAGGCGGGAGGGATGGCATGATGCCATACAGCCAGGCCGACCAGCGCGGGGCCCGCTTCCTGGGGCCTCCTGGAGCCTCTTGGGGCACCCTGTGGCCTCTTGAGTCTTCCTGTGACCTCCTGGTGCCTCCTGGGATCTCCTGTTGCTTCCTGGGGCCTCCTAGAGCCTGCTGGAGCCTCCTGTGGCATCCCGGGGGAGAGCCGTGCCCACGAGTCTGGCCACCCAAACAGGCAAACCGATCGAGACATCCCCAAACTCTGGCTCCACGTGGGGGCAAAACTGATCGCCTCGCTCGAGACGTCCTTCGAATCTACTCCGAAAGCGGAGGATGCTGCGGCAGGAGACAGGCAAACCGCTCGAGACATCCCCGCCATCTTGGCGCGAACGGAAGAGTGCAATACCCCCTGACGGCTCCCCCTTGGGGGTGCTGAAACCCGCGCTTCGCTCGAAACATCCCGCCAGCATCATCATCATCATCATCATCATCATCATCATCATCATCATCATCACCATCACCATCACCATCATCATCGTCATCGGCATCGTCATCGTCATCATCATCATCATCATCATCAGCAGCACCATCATCATAATCATCAGCAGCAACATCTTCATCATCATACCACCTCCACAATCATAGCATAGCATAAAGTAACATGGCATACCGTGACATAACATAAACACACCTGTCATGCCATGCCATAACATTACATACCAGTATATAGGATGTCATGCCATAACATAACGTAGCATGCCATACCATAATATACCACATCACCACATTCCATGACTTACCACCACATACCACAATAAAATATAACATATAATACCATGCCAGATCATAGCATAGAACGGCATGAGAAGGAAGAAAAGGAGGGAGCGTGAGTGAGCGAAGGAGTCGGCGCGGTCGGAGTAATAACAAGAGCCCCACCCTTTGGATATGGGGAATCACACAATCCCATCCTTTGGATGTGGGAATAAACATGCACCAACATGTTGGCCGCTCACCCGGCTGGCTACTTCAATATTGGATTGTTTGCAAGCTGCGGAACATGTACTAGTGCGCGTCCAACACTGCCACTGAGCAGGGTAGTAAAATGCAAACCTGCCAACACAAAGAAACGAGCCAAGAAGTATGCGTCGCTACTCCTAAGCGAGCCATCGCGGTGAAACCAAAACACGACGAAACGAAGAGAACGATGGGCAACAGGACAGTCTTTGCCTGTCTACCCACGTGCTCCCAGGCCTGCCGCAATCGAATTGATAGTGGCTGCAGATTGCACGGCGAGCTTTACCTTGCTGTCGAACTACCACTCTCTGCTTCCTACCACTCGTGACTGGAGCCCTGCCTCGCTCTGGCCCTGGGCCACCTCCACAGCGGCCCGGAGCTCCGTATGCAGAAGAAGGAAAAATGCACCAGCACAAACTTTCGGATACAGTCGAGGGCTTGACCTAAGGAACCCAAAATAAGGAACGAGGCCTGTTTTTTCCATAAGCTAAACTTCGATGTCCGATCGAAAACATAAGGAGAACCTGAGGCAAGCTGCGAAACACTTCAGGAACGCGGAGCCCCTCCCCAACGAAAAGGACTCCTTCTTCAGGGCCCCGACTGTATCCAACGAATTCCTGGGATCGGCGCTGGACCCCCCCTCCATGGCGCGCGGAGCGCGCCAAGGGCGGCGCCGGAGGCGTCCAGCGCAGATCCAAGAAATCCGCGCGGAGCTCCGGAAGTTTACGTCCGTGCCGTCGTTTTCTTCTTCGGGTATCGCCTGCGCGCTCGCCCGAAGCTGCAGACCAGCGCAGGCGCCGCCCGTCGTCGGCCTTGACGGTGGCCGCCACCTGCGAGGGGCTCAGGTCGAGAGCGTCGGCGTAGGCCTCCCTGATCTGGCTCTCCACCACGGCCCTGCTCCGAGCATCCAGCTGGTCTCTGGGCAGGTTGCTGATGGTGACGCTCTGCGTGACGTGACCTCCCCGCCCTGGTGCTGGCGGCTGCTGGACTTCCGCATCCCCTGCCGGGGGCGCGGGTGCTGTGAGGGGCAACGACAGGTGGGAACTGGCTCAGGAGGGATACATCGACCTGGAATCGGCGATAGGCCCCCGCTAGCGAATCCGCACGGTCCTGGGCGAGATGGGCTGTCAAGCCCTGTTCGGCGCTCAGTGGGCGATTGGGGGTCGATGCATCCTCCCCTTCAGCCTACCCCCCCCAACGTTGCCCCTCATGCTGGCGCAGGTGCAGAGGTCGGTGCCGGTGTAGGTGCCGATGTAGGTCCGTCGCTGAGCTCCGCAACGTCGCTGGGAGCCGGCGTGGCTGCCGAGGCAGGCTCCGAAGCGATGTCCGCCTCCGCATCATCGCTGGGAGAAGCGGGTGCGGAGGTAGTCTCCGACGCAATCTCCTCCTCAAAACGTGGCGGTATCCGGATGACAATCGTCCCCGTCGGATACGAGCGGCTCAGCGGAGGCCGAACCTGGGAGCCGAGCGTGTCAGCACCAAGCCCTCAATTGACTGCGCTACTGGGGGCTGCCTCTCCTCCTCCAGCTCCAGAGGAGGGGGAGAGGAGAATGAAGAGGACGAGGAGAAGGAAGAGGAGGAGGAACAGCAAAATACTTCCCTGCAGATGCCCCTCCTGCCTAAGCTTCTCTGCCCAATAAAGAAACTCCACTCCTGCACGATGTCCTCAAACCCTGTAAAATAGGCAGTCCTGAAGGCAAGGGGCAATGGGGCCACAAGGACGTGCCGTTGCTGGTAGAATCGGTGTCCTTGCTTCCCATTCCCCCCTCCTCCTCCTCCTCCTCCTCCTCCTCCTCCTCCTCCTCCTCCTCCTCCTCCTCCTCCTCATCCACCTCCTCGTTTCCCTGTCTCCCTCGCGGGTGCGAGGGGGAGAAGGAAGAGGAGATGGATGAGGAGAGAGAGAGAGAGAGAGAGAGAGAGAAAGGGGGGATGAAAAGGGCGTGAGTGTGAAATTTCGCTCTGCTCGGAGTGCCTCCAAGCTGCCGTTGTTGTGCGACACGACGGTCAGCTCCTCTCGCCCCTCGGGTCCGATGGTAATCACGTCTCCCTTTCCGATAGTCGTTGCTCCCATTGGGATGGCGCTGGAGCCCTGCGTAACGTCCGCGACCGTGTGCTGCAGGTGTCCGTCTTGCCCAGCCTCTTTCAGAGAATGTAGTGTCACCGCCCCCGTTGCGATGTCTGCCAAGATCGTCATCGAGGACATGGCATCTTCCAACAGCAGGCTCATGCTGCGTATCCCAGACTCGCTCTGGATATACTGGGCGACGCGAGTGCTGTTCTCTCCACTAGTAGGCACCAAGGTGACCTGCAGCACGGTGCTATCGTCGAACACGTTATGGTCGACGACCTGAACGAACACGTTGCACTTGGGCATCTTGCCAGCAAACATCTTCCAACCCCAAGAGGAATACCAAACGTGTGATCTAATTCCAGGGGGATGCGTCTAAAGCATCGCTGCGGTATGCATTGTCACTGGTAATGTAACATTCTTTCCTCATCACCTACATCCTTCGCCTTCGTACGCACACACACACACACACACTTGTACGTATACATATCCTCCCTCAGTTGGCATACGCTCCAACGCCCCCTCCTACGCAACCACTTCAGACGTATTCACCTTCGTACTGCGAGGCATATCATTTCGAACTCAATGCGCTGCCGACAAGTTCAAACATGTTTTTGGAAGGCGCTAGACTCCTTTTCCACATTCCGGGGCGCTTCCAGGAACTCTTGGAGTGTGTCGCGTTACTTTTCTCCATGCCTCGCGGGCGTGGTTCGGAATTCGCAGTCCCAACTAAGTCTAAGATGGGGGTCCAGGGTCTGGCCAGAAGCCATGTTGGGGGCCTGTTCGACCGACTTCGAGGCTCGCGAAACTCAATTGCCAAGACAAACAGAAACTCTGGTATGATTCTCACCAGCTCATTGTCCTGACTTACCCTTGGTTTTCAGCGGGGAACTCTTCCTTCTCTCTACTATGCTCGCTGGTCAAAGCGACTCGGATCCGAGGCTGGAGAGGCGGGTGTCTCAACTCGCTTCTCCTTGAAACCACACCTGGCAGAAGGGAAGCGAGAAGGGAGGGCGAGCCAGGCGGCTCGGAAGGGAGGGGAGCCAGGATGACTTCGGAGCAACGGCAACATGGATCGATGAGACCGACACCCCAAACCCCGCTAAGTCATTACTGCGCACGCACCCTCATGACTTACCCTTAGTTTTCAGCGGGGAACTCTTCCTTGTCTCTACTATGCTCGCTGGTCAAAGCGACTCGGATCCGAGGCTGGAGAGGCGGGTGCCTCAACTCGCCTCTCCTTGAAACCACACCCAAGTCAGATTCCCAACGCAGAAGCTGTTCTCGCACAGCGCCCGCAGGGCACTTAAAACCGTGAAAACGACGGCGCGATGGAAACATGCGGGGATAAGCTCTGCAGGGCGGGGTCGGGAGACGTGTTTCTTGCGTCCGTCCCGAACCTTAGCGCCAGGGCGTTGCAATCCTAAGCGGTTAGCGTCGCTATGCGAAATGTTACTGATAAACGTAGCGACGCTCAGCCTAGACGTCCCCTTGCACCTACACATATGAGAAAGGACAGGAGTGGAGGGGAGCATAAAGAGTCAGGCGATGCCATCCTCACCCACGGACTTGTAGCAACTGACTGCCAGGGGAAGCCCCAAAGCCTCCGCGCACGACACTAAGCGAACGAGACCACGAGAGATGGGCTGTTCACGCAATGAGATTAGGACTCCGCCGATGCTTCCCCTTCTCATGTCCGATCTGAGCTTGAACGAGAGAGAGTCTGACACATCGCAGTTATCGATATACCGAACGAGAAAGCCAGCGGCCACGACATGTGCAGGAGCGCTAAAAGTCTGGCCCACGACCAAGACAAAAAGGCGCCTCTCATTGATCGGGAATGCAAAGCGGGCTTTGGCAGCACGCGGCCGTGCACCAAGGTCTCCACGAACGGCTCCTCGTACTGTACTGCGTGCTGCCGTAGCCAACTCGGATGGGCCATCTACGTCAAACTCAGCGTCGCGCCCTTTTCGTACCGCACCACCGAGCGGCCCGACTTCCAGTCGCCCCGCTACCTGACCTCCGCCAGTGTGCGCCGACGAGCAGCCATGTCGGCACTGGCGCCACTGTGCCTGGCTTGGCACCCCACCAGGTTGAAGCCCAGGTCGCGGGCGGCTCTCTGCACGGCAGCCGCCAGCTGGGGATAGCTGAAGGTCTAGACGCGCACCCCAGGAGGTCGAGACCGAAGAGCCTGGAGCATAAGAGTCCGGCTGACCCACCAATCGTGGTCCAACTCGACCGTCACGTCGAACTCCTTCACCTTGGGGGGCACCTCGTCGACCACTGGGTCCGGCGGGACGGACCCGTAAATGGCGACCCGGCTGGGGGCGCACATGTATTCGGTCTGGAGCGCCATCGGTCGGAGGGGGCGCGCGTGTGTGCTCCACATGAGACAGATGAACAGGGCCATACCGTACCGCTTCATCCCGTACAGCCCGATCACAATGGCACACCAAATCGGCCACGCCTCGGGCAAACGGGAGGTCGAGGGACCCAGGTTCTGCCATCCCCTCAGAGCCCTCCAGCTGCGCTGCAGCGCATGTGGGCCCTGCTCCCCCGCCTGCGGCAGGGCGTGGGCCAACCCAGTTAACAGCTTCATGCCGCGGGCTGCCGTCGCCCCCGACTTGACCTGATGATCGATGTACTGGGCCAGCAGATTGTCCAGCTTCTCGATTGGGATCTCCGCCGCACGCTCGGCGCCACAGAACAGGCTGACCTGGTGCACCTCCTGGGCATACTGGGCGTCGGTCCAAGGCCTCACCGCTGCATGCTCTCCGAGCGTCCAGTGGGGGAGCTCTGGAAGCGCCTCGGACGTCAGGAGCTTCGTCAGCGCGCCCTTCCTGCCGCGAGGGGGCGTCCGTTGCCGAACGGCGACCGTGATCCCGTCCTCGCTGTCCGAGCTCGACGCCTCTCTGAAGCGCGGGTCGGTCCTGATCGCCCCCTTTCTGCTGCTCCAGGATAAGTCTCGCCTCGAAGTCCGCAGGGCCAGGCTTGCGGGCGCTGCGGGCCAGAGCGGCGACTCCCAACTCGCCCTCCGCTTCGAGGACACGCGAAGTGCGCTGCAGTGATGCGGACGGCCCCAGCAAACTCTCCAGTCGGCGCTTCCTGGTCGGCGCAGCCGTCGGTGGAACTTCGGGCCGCGATGAGGCTACGACCCGAGCTCTGGCGGTGCAGATAGACTGGGGCGGTAGCATACGAAGAGGCGTGAACCAACATGTCTACGGAGGGGCCATTGTTTTTACGAGGAGGCGCAGGCTTTGGGGCGCAACGCAACGCCTGGTTTTCAAAAAAAACCCTAGACCTTGCCCAGACGTCTCGGGGAGCTGCAAACGGAAACGGACAAAAGACGGATCCATCGGGTCACAGGGTTCCTCCGCCTCACCAGGGCCCTGGAAATCGTCATGGGGGGCGCACTTACGGGGGCGGGGGCGGTCAACATCGTCTCTGTTAGGGGCTACCGAATTCGACCGTATATCAAACAGGCGAGAGGGAGCGTCGGCTGGATTCCTCTCAGACGGTATCCAGCGCACAGAGAGGTGAATGTTACGACTGAGACACCATGCTGCCATTCTGCGCAGAACCACGAGGATTTTGAAACTCCGACATCGCCACCTCCCTGCGGCCAAAACGAAGCCTAGATTGTCGGCAAGGAGAAGCTGGCGAATGTTGCGACCGTACCTGGTACGACTCACTCGCTCCAGCCCGCGCAGCATGCCGCGAGCCTCCAGGACCATGATATCCTCTGGCTGCTCGAACTTCCAGCCGCCGATAACCGCCCAAACGACGGGGTCGGTCATGCAGCTGGGAACCTCGGCAAAGTGCGGGTCAGGCTGGAGGCCCAGGCGGCCCAAGCAGCCCTCTACGCCAAGGGGCTCACATGGGGGCGGCTCGGCCCCGAGCGCCGCCGCGCGAGCTCCGACGTGCCCCTCTGCGAGGTAGCGGTCACGATCTCGGCAACGGCCCACGGCGGCGACGCCCCCGGCGGCAAACCAGCGCGCGCAGATGCCGCAGCCCGTCTCCGAAGGGCCGGTGGCCACGACGAGGGGGGTCCAATCCGACTCCCAGCTAGAGGCCAGGAGGATCACCAGGCCCGCGAAGGAGCGCAGCTCGTCGGACGCGGAGGGCCAGAGGGGCGCGGGCTGGTCGTAGTGGCGCCTGATGAACGGGTAGGCCGTCGCGAACACCGACAACGTCTCGCGCCTCACCAGCCCGCAGAAGGTGGCACGCCCGAGGACGATTTCCAACTGACGCCCAGAGGCGCGACGGCGACCCGCCAAGGCCAGCAAAGCACCCCTGACGCGCCAGAAGCGCTTGGCCGTCAACCTCGCGTGGCGCCGTCGCCCGTCGAGGAGCACCCCTGGCGCCTCGACGCCCGAGTCGGAGGTGGCCACCTCGTGCACGGCAAGGGCCCCTCGCCTCGAAGGCCGCGCAGACGTCCTCCAACTTCGATGCCACCACGCTGCCGTCTGACCCGAAGACCCCGATGTTGTCGACGTAGATGTAGTGCCTGGTGTCCGACGCGGCCTCGCCCCGTAGCGCGAGGACTAGGGGCTGGCCCCGATCGCGAAGCAGCTCGGCACGACTCAGCACCTGGCTGGCCACCCTCCTCGTCGATGTCCTGCGCCAAGAACAGACTCCACGAGAAGCCCATGGGCAGACGCCGAGGCATAGGCGTCACCATCTCGTCGGGCCCGACTGGGCCATCCAGGGTATCCGTCAGCCCCACGTCGGCAGCGCGGACGGGGGCAAACCTAACCAGCGAGGGAGCCAGGTCGGTTTGCCCATCCGATGAAGAGCATTTCTGGACGTCAGCAGTGCCGCAGAAAAGCGAGGAACATTCTTGACCGTCGGGAAGCTCGACCTCGATCCGACCGAGACCTTCGGCCGTCAACAGATCGACGCGCGGCGGCGGCGCAAACCGCCTGGTGGTCCGCCGCGCGCCGAGGATGAGGCGGAGCTTGCCGTTCATTTTGCGAACAAAAAAGACAGGAATACGCTCATGAGCCCATCCGCCGAAGGCCAGCATGTTCCCGGCCTTGAGACCACCGATGCAACGGGCGTAGAGCGTGGGGCTGCTGGCGAGCTGTTGATCCACATAACAGCGCTCAGCGTCATCATCAAAACTGTCACTGAAGCTCCGATCCAGCATGCGCTCTCCTGCGCCCTCCAGAAAATATCGGCCGCGGCCCCCAACTAAGTCCGATACATTCGGGACACTAGTCCTCTTCTCAAGCAAAGAGACCCGACCGCGCTGGTACGGCGCGAGCGTAGTCGAAGAAGCGCCCATCCTGTAGCCAGACGCCTTCTCACAGAGCATCTCC